GAAGTGTTACGTGCAATGATGAATATGGCAAGGGAGGTAATAGTACCCACAACATTTGACCCAAATCCAAACATTTCAGCAAGTTTTAGGAGATTAAACCGCATTTTTAAGGTATTTTTGTGCATTGTATATTTTTTTTTGTCATTATTTTATTGCTTTAGATTTGTAAGTTTTCTAATGTTTGCATAATTTTTTAATTTTATTTAAATGTAGGGAGCAGTTGGTGCACTTGATGGAACATTAATACCTGCCATTATTCCAATTTCACAACAGACTATGTATAGGGGTAGAGGAAAGGGAGAATGTTATCAAAATATTTTAGGAATATGCGACTTTAATATGATTTTTACGTTCGTTTGGGCAGGCTGGGAAGGGGTAACACATGATTCAAGAGTCCTAACGGATACAGTTGCTGATCCAAGAAATGGGTTTCCATGGCCTCCACCTGGTATTACTTTAAATTCAAACTAAATTCTTAATATTTATACGTTAAATTTTGATATTACTTTATATTTATAATGGTTACAGGTAAATACTATCTTTGTGATGCTGCATATACACATACTAGAGGATTTATGGTTCCATATCGTAATGTACGATATTGGTTAGGAGATTATCGTCGTAGGCGTCCTTTAACTAAAGAAGAAAGATTTAACCATGCTCATGCTCAACTAAGGAATGTCATCGAACGAGCTTATGGAGTTCTGAAGAAAAGATTTCCAATTTTACAAAAAATGGCCCCTTTTTCGTTTAATGTGCAGAGAAATATAGTGATTGCTTGTTTTGCGGTTCATAATTTTATAAGAAAAGAGCGTATAAGTGATACACTTTTTGAGGAGTTTGATCAACCTAATATGTCATTTGATGGTGCGAATGAGGATGAGCAAAATCTTGTGAATGATGGTACAACTACTGGACCATGGTGGGGGGATGAAGACATGCAATACATGGCAAATGTGCGCGATGAAATAGCAACTCGATTGATGCCTGGAGGGACCAGGACCAATTAGAATTTATTAATTTTTTTTCAGTTTAATTTTAGGGATTAATATTTTTGAGCCAATTTTAATGACTTTAATGTATTTTTATATTTTCTCTGCTTTTATTTATGACTTTTATTTTTATTAGTTGTTTGAATTTGAAATTTGAAATTTATATTTTGTCTATGTTAGATATTATAAGTTCATATCAAGATATGTAATGTCTGTTAAATTTTTATAACTTACTTATTAAGTAGATCATGCTTAAAAAATATGTTTATTCAAATATTCTAATCAAATTTAATTACTTATAATGTTTCATAATTATACAAAGGTATATCAGGAAAATTATAATATTCAGACGTTACAGATATTCAGTTATCAAATGAACTTAATTATTCAACATTCAGCAATCAGACACAGCTCTTACCCATTCAGAGATTTATTCAGCATTCAGCATTAAGCACTTAATCCTATCAAACGGAGCCTAAGAGTGTGACTCTATTTATTGCGTCGGTATAGGCTGCGGCATTTGAAGCCAAGCCACAATCTACTTTATTTCCTACCAATAATTCTTTTTTGAATTATTGAGACAAAATTAGAGTCCTAAGGAATTAACTATGGTAGTGTTCGGTTTGCCGGGAGGATGACGCGGGTGTGATGTCCGCCTCCTTATGTTACGTCAGCTTCCAACTTTGCCGGAATCTCGATCGGATGCCGTTCTTGCACCATCGGGAGGAGTTTTCTTGACGTAGAAGCTCCGGCGATCAAGTCGTAAAGAATATTTGAGCGCGCATTATGTATTTTAGTAGAAAAATGTTAAATTAGTCATAAAAGTTTTTTAATAGACTTTAAGGTTGAGTGAGTGCTATCTCGTTCAAATCCCCGATTCAAGATCATACCGTAGTTTCTAGAGCTCTGCGTCTTCACCTCGTGTCGCTGCGCGACGTAAAGTAACGGGAATATACAACGACATCACCATTTAAGGTTGCTTATACTCTTAATGGGATTGGGCCTCCCGCTTTGGGCTTTATGAGTAGTTTATATTATTATTATTTACGAGGTTCATATTTGCGACATAGTCCATATCAAAATTATTATTGTTTACGAGGTCCATAAGCCCGTTTGTTTAGATAATTTTGTATTGGTATTGCATTCAAAAATTCTAATTAAGTGATAATAAAAAACGTGTATAATTAATCCTTATCGCAACAAATCTTCACTTGAAAAATATCTAATCCTATGGTCTAAACTCTTCTCAGATGACCCCATTACAGCACAGTATATATACTGTCTGAAAGCTTAAAAAACAACACAAAAAAAAAAATAAAAAAATATCAAAATCAGAAAACCAAATCCCAGAATTGGCTTTGTGAGGGATGTGCATAGGACTATGGTGGAACTATTGGTCAGCTTTCAGGTGGCCGGAGTTTCATCTTTCCACCATTCTCCGGTGGCCGGAATTCGACTTCTCCTACCTATTCAACGGCGCCTGGATTTTCCGGTGGTTCGACATATCGGTCGACGATGTGTTATGGAATCTAACTTATGTGTTTGAGTCCTTAGCTTTAGCCACTATGCTCTGTTGTTTCTTCCTTTTCTGTGGTTGTACTTTATAATTAATTCAAATTTTTATTCAAATCCTCCAAGAGTGACAACCTAATAAAACCAACATATATAATTTATTAATTGTCACAAAAATATTTCGAAATTCAATATAATTAATGAACCAACATATATACATATATACATACCTTGAGAAATCATGACAATGCAAAACACAATAGTGAACACCAACGCAATCAAGTTGGTCCCGCTCGACGAATTCGAATTCGAAGCCTTTGCAGCAGCTAATTTCATTTTCTTGATCCGCTCGATTCTCGACCGTTTGATCGCTATCAGCTCAGCAATCTCCTTGATCAGCTTTACATCAGCCGCATCCAACGGCAGTACTAATGCTTTCTTAGGGGGGCGAGGGGGCTTCTTAGCACTGAATTTCGGAGAAATATTATCATCGACATTATTTCTCGGATCAATTAAAATGCTCACCGAATTATTTCCAACATCGTCTGAAATCGCAGGAGAAATTCCTACTTCTTCGCTCGTTTTATTACAGCAATCGATATCGATGATTGTGTCGTTTGCATTCAACTGCATAGGATCCATATTAGCTATCCTTACAGTTGACAACTGTATGTATACATATAGACTATATATACTTCTTCATTGCATATATATATACACACACACACACACACACACACACACACACACACACACACACACACTGAATTATTGATATGGAAGAAAAGGAACAAATTAGTAGTCAATTAGGATGTACATTAGGGGAGCATAAAGAATGAATCACCAAACTCATTCAAGATGATAAAATAAAGATTAATGATTAATTAAATATTTGAAGAGGGATTACTAATTAATGACGATTAATGACTAATTAGGATGTCTGAAAGCGACAACATAATGGGACTGAAGTACTGAAAGTATTTCTTTTCCCTTCTTTTTATTTATTTATTTAATTATTATTTTTGTTAGTTACTCCACCGACAAACAACCCACCCGGTTACATTTAATTATATATTATTTATTTTGGATTACGATATACTATTATTTGCTCAAGATAAAATATTTAAAAATATATATTTATGTAAACTTGTTACGACGTGTTACGCATTTTCACTTGTTCCGACGGCCGCCCGGCCGGCAAGTGAATACAATTTTATTACGCATTTTCACTTGTTCGGGGATATTCGTTTTAGTTTAAACAAATAAAAAACTGACAAGTGTCCTATTTTCTGCAGCAAAGTCACGCGCGAATTGGAATCAGCTGCAGCATCCCCACGTATAGCTGGAATCCTCTGTAGTAAAGTCCACTGTTCCTTAGACTGGGACGGCGTCGTTTCATATAGTCATTCAATTCACTTGCAAAATCCCCAATTCCATCACGCGATTTCTGTGAGCCCTAGCACTGCGTCTAGATCTTCTGCCCCACTCCATAACAGGTTTATATACGATTCTGTATTTCCATGGATAAATACGACGAAGAAGCTCATCATTTCCATCCAAGTGGCTGGCAGCCCCGCGGTGGCGGAGCTCCTCTCCACCAACACCAGCGTCACGATAATTTCCGAGGCAGGGGAGGAGGAAGAAACAGTCCTAATAATTACCCCAGCGGATTCTCCAGTGGGGGTGGCCGGGGAAGCGGTGGTGGTGGGAGGGAAAACCACAGGCCTTATGATAGCCCGCCGCCCTACCCTCAGCCGTCTAGTCGGGATGGAGGGGTAGGAGGATTGAGACCAATTGGTGATGGAATTGGAGGGTTTCGACCTACTGTTGGTGGCGTGGATGGTGAAGAAGGGTTTTCTCCGATGAGTGGCGGTGGTGGAAGAGGAGGGTTTCGACCAATCGGAAGAGTTGATGGGGGAGGGTATCCACCAATGGGTGGTGATGGATTTCAATCGATGAGGGGTGGCCGAAGTGACGTTGGAGGATTTCGGCCCATGGGTGGTGGCGGCGGCAGCGATGTTGGAGGGTTTCAACCAATGGGTGGCGGCGGCAGCAATGGTGGAGGGTTTCAACCGACAGGTGGGAACAGACGAGATTCTCCAGTGTTTAGACCAATAGGTGGCAGTGATAGTGATGCTGGAGGGTTTCGACCGATGGGTGGTGGTGGCACCGACGGTGGGAGTTTTGGTTTGGATAATTACCATGTGCAACCTTCTCCTCTCACGGGCCAGAAGCGAGGGTACCCTTTTCCTAGTAGAGAAAGGTCTCCAGGTACTTTGGGTTGGAAACATAGGCCGTTTATGTTAATTGTTTAATTGTTAATTGCTTTCAATAGTCTAGTTATTCGGCATGGTTACGAAATGATTGTTTTGTTAGTTTGCTTGGTTAGTAATTGCTAATCAGTTACCCAGTCCTATTAGTGATAGTATTCCGGTTTAATTTTAATTGTAGTAGATTAGATGAGTTGAAGTCAGATTGGGTAGCTAGTTAGATAGGTATTTAAGGTCATATCACATGCTGTAAACATTAGCTAATATAGTATGTCTTTCAATTTTTTCTTATCTTGGTAGGAAACTCTCTTGTCTGCCTTGAGATTACATCACCCTTCTATAACATTATTATTACTTGCAGCATTTTGTAATTAAGTTGTCTATGACTTAGTGTGTTTATTTGTAACTAACAGCAGTTTCCAGCTTTTATCTCTTCACGTTCGTGAATTTTTTTTGACCATATTGCTATTATTATGAATTTTTAAGGAATCTATAAAGTGGTAATGTATGTGAAGCAACTTTTTATTTTTGTATCTTGATTTCATGATCTCCTTGATTCAGTGCTGCCTGCCTGGTGTCGTTTGTATTACTTGCATTTATCAAAGTTTTCTTATTTTATTCAGGCAGAGAAGGAGCTAGTTTTGCCAAACTTTTTGTTGGATCTGTTCCAAGGACGGCCACTGAGAACGATGTAAGTTGGTTCTACTGTTGAACTCCTTTGTCAATGCTTGAATTCAAATCAGATGATGACCTTGTAAACATAGATTTTCTTTGCCTTATGATTTTATATTGACTCATAGTATTATGGCTAGCCTTGTGGCTTTGTAGCATGAATATATAGAATTTGTTATGTTTTTAGGAGGCAGGGTAATGACTTGGTTATCCTGAAGTCTCGTCATAATATTTCCAATGCTGGATTATGAGAGGGAAGACAATTTAGTTAATGGATTTTTATGTGCTTTGACTACAATAAATAATTTTCTGTTAAGATGATACATTAGATTTCTGATTGCTCAATCTCACTTATCCAAGAAACAGTGGAAGCTCAAGTTTTTATTGTAACAGCATCTTATTCTAGTTTATTATATGTGTTAGTTCTCTTTCTTAGCTTGCTAGTTCGTTAACTTTGTATATTGTCTTACTTATGATCTCATAATTCTAGATTCGACCTCTCTTTGACAAACATGGACACGTTCTGGAAGTTGCTTTGATCAAGGATAAGAGGACTGGAATTCAACAAGGTATGTGCTTTTGCTGTTTGTAACAATTATGATTTTCATGTAAATGTGTTTTTCAGGTCTTTGGGGGGCTGAAGGAAGCCACTTAATGTTATGTTTCTCGTCAGTTGTCCATTCACCCTCATCTTCTGTTCATACTCCATCCAAGAAGAGGATATGTTTAAATATTCTATAAACTGATCCATGTACAATGATCAGAAAAAAAACATTTCTTCCTTGTATGTTCCTCTTTAGTGGCCTTGTGGTATAGTCTAGGACGGAGTGCGTTTATGTTGCTTTTCACTTAGTTGTGGGACAAACTATATTGTTTTAGAACATGGAGACAACAATATGATTCGTTTCTCATCAATGACTTTTGAATCCATTCTTTATAAATTCCAGTAGTTTTTTCTTCATCTTGGATGCAATTAAATTGATGCAGTGTTCATATTATGGAATTCATTTTTGAGAACATGTTATGGGATTATCAATAGAATTGGCAGATTTGTGTTTAAGTACTAGTTTCCTTAATCTCAGCGTCTGTGTGATGAGATTGCAATTGTTTGCTGCACTGTGTGCGCTATTGTACCTGTTATCCCCAGCACGTAACTTAGTTTCTTGTGTTTTTGTGCAATATAAGTTTAATTTACAGAAATTGATTGATTAGGAAGTGTTAGGCATAATAGGCTGTGGGATCTTATGATGTATCTTGTGTTGTCATGGCCAATATTCTCATTTTTAGCACTTGATCCTCTTTTAGATATATCTGATTAATGTAACACATTCTTTAATCAGTTGTATCAAGATTGTTGTGTGGTTTCTTAAGTTATCTGTAACCTCACTATATCTGTTCTACTGAAGATTCTTGTTAACTTCTCTGGATGCTGTTTTTTCATAGAATTCGAACATAGATCGAATTATTCTTTGATGAAGGTTGTAGTGCTATCTTGATTGGATAATATTGCTGTAGTCTATGCGTGATTAGTCCATTTCTCAGTTAGATTGCTATATGATCCTTTGTCACGTTTCTTGTGATGTTATTTTTAAGTTAATGAAGCTGTGCTTGTTGACCCATTTGCGTCATGCTTGATATCAATGCTGTGCATGTATCTTGTGGATGTTTAGCTGTTTAATTTTTATTCGATCATCATTAAGCTTCTTCGATTTTTCGCACCAGCCGTCATTATCAGGTTTTGGCTTGTCTATTGAGCATTTTCTTAAAGATGTTGGTTGTTGCAACTTTATGGATTTGTTGATTGGATGCGATGTGAACTTTAGTAGTGTAATAATGATGCTTATGTAGAAGTGAGCAATATTAGCTTCTCCAATTTTTGGATTTGTTAAATGGATCCGATAATAGCTCATGTGGTGCAATGATGATTGTCGTGTAGATGTCTGGATGAGCAAAAACTTGTGTACTGATGGGTTATTTTCTTCACCAATTTCTCATGGTGCTGTGAAGGGTGGCATTGGCAGATTGTTCAATGTTATGATGGGAGACCATACTAAGTAGTTTTTAGATGTGACATGTTTTAGCCTCAAAATGGAGTTCCTTTATGTACTCGTAATTACCCCTCTTATGGCGGTGGAGTTACTGATGGAACGTTTGGTTTGATACGTGTGTGTCTCTTTGCATTCTTTTCATTTCCAACCGTGATTGGTCTTACTTTCCTTTGCACTTCAATCTTGTTATGCTGTGTGGTTTACTTATGAATGGAGGCAGATTGGCTTTTCGATTTATGGCAAATTCCTTGGATGGGATTTTATAGCTTCTTCCAAGTTTTTTATCATACCTGTTTTTAGTGGTACGCGAAGAGCATTTTGTGGCACTCAACCAATGAAGGTTCATTAATTTTTCTTCACCATTGTTTTTATCTTTTCATGTCAATCAGAATTTCTTTATCATGCCATCTGTAAAATGTATCTGTTTGTCTTGTTTGATGAGCATTGTTGATCCTTTTGTCCTAATAGCAGGTGAAGAACTAATTTACAGCTGACTGTACTTTCCACTTGGTGTTTAACCTTTAAAGTAGTTAATTGTGTTTCTTATTTAATTATTGGTGGTGTTTTTGTTTCAACCTTTTCTCTGTCCAATGGATTGTTACATAATTTTCTTGTTCTTTTCTCCCTCTTTTGAAGTATGAGAGGGAGCAATGTAAGTTTGGGTATGATTCAGGTGTTATTAATGTTTGCACATTATATGATTGTTGTGTTTCCTTTATCTCGATGGGTTAAATATGGTGAATGCAATGGGAGCTTGAGTTTTGAATATTGATACGTTGATCTTGGTTTATGTACAATCATTAATCTATGTTTGCAGTTGCAATTTCACTGTTTTTTTTGGTATAAAGAAATCTTGGATGCTATTTATTAAATTGTTCCCAAGTTGTCAATGGTGTATTGTAATTGAGGTTAGTTACGATTCAGTGGTAGAAATTGTCAATGGCAATGATTTAGTGTATGATGGCTACTCTGCGATAATAAGTAGCGTTGGTTGAATTGGAGGGACATATGTATGTGGTAGAAATTGCAGACAAAGTCTGCACCAATTGATTTACACTGATGTTACATTGGGGAATACATCAAGTATGTTCTTGAGTTCAATCAGTTTAGTTGTGAAATTTTGTAAAGCATTTGACATTATGCGTAATCTCTGGTCGTCACTAATATCTTGTTTTAATATCCACAATGATGAGTATTATTCTGTTTTGTTTCATTCTATTAATTTTTCCTTGGTTTATATCTTGTTTTAATATCGTATCGGTCGTGTTCACAGACACATCAATAATACTTATTCCCTTGGTTTGTGGTACTAGTTATACAAAGTTAACTTCATATCTTGAAAGATTGTTGAATTTGAGAATGTTTTATATGTTGGTGGGATTTAGTTCCTGCTGATGATTAGGTAAGTATCAAGAGGAAGTTGTTATTTAAATTCCTCTATTTTGTTAGGGTTTGCCTTAATATTATTGCCTTGAGTTATGAAAGAATGTAAAGTTCGCTGTGGAAGTGCCTTTGTCCTTCGATGTAATCATGGATACTAGTTGTCTAAACATGGATGGTTTTGGAGCATTGTTTTTGTGTCTCAATCCATTGAATGCATCCATATACGTGATGTGCTTAAGTCTCTATTAATTTATTTGAGCTGAAGTCTTTACCATAAATAATTGTTTTAAGATGTAATGTCACCACACCTCTGTTTTGTCGTAGTAAAGGTAGAATATCTTGATAAATTTGGATACCAACTTTGACCTACGCAGGATGCTGTTTCATTAAATACGCTTCCTCTGAAGAGGCCGATAGAGCCATTAGAGCACTGCATAACCAGTATACTTTACCGGGGGTATATTTTTCTACTCCGTTTTTTTGTGCTGAAAAGTTGTGCTCCTATATTTCTTATTTATTCATGGGTTACACAGGGTATGGGTCCTATCCAAGTCAGATATGCAGATGGAGAGCGTGAACGTCTTGGTAATAGTTTGTTCTGAATTTCTCTTCTTGTTGACTCTTTGCTGCGGAAGTTCTTGGGAGATTCGGAAGTTCTATTAATCTTTTTGCTGGTCCTGATCGCAGGTGCTATGGAATATAAATTGTTTGTTGGGTCGTTGAACAAAAAAGCTGCTGAGAAGGAAGTTGAAGAAGTATTCTCCGAGCTACCTTTTCTTTTCTTTGTTCTAGAAGATAACCTTGCACGTTTCTTCCTTCTATCATTATGTACATGCATACGATTTTTTTAAGGCCTTGGTACTGAAGCTAGAGAGTGGGTTTGTGCGCTCAAAATTTTTAGTCCTTTATTATTGCATTTCACCATGCATACAAATTTCAGTTTTTGTTGCTATTGATTGAATTAAGTGTCTGTAAATGTTATTTCATAATTATTAGCGGTATTTTTGTTGAACGAAACTACTGTGATGCACCACCTAATTACTTGTACTACTGATTTTGCTTCTCCAGATTTTTTCACGTTATGGAAGAGTTGAAGATGTCTATCTAATGCGTGATGAAATGAAGCAGAGCCGTGGTACGACCACCCCCTTCTTTAGTCCATGGCTGTGTTTCAGTTTTCTAGTAAATATTCAATTGAAAGTTAGCCACCTATTCCTGGCATCTACCTCCATTTCTAAAATGTGGCTGTCTTGGGATTTGAGTTTGCAAAGATAAAAATGCACTTCTTTTTCTTATTATATCACACTACTATGGTGCGGTGGTTGTATGAGATGTATGATCTATCTTTGGCACTGACATTTCATATTTAATTTTTCCCGTGGTCATCCTAACTCATGCTATTTGAAGGATGTGGATTTGTCAAATACTCTCAGAGAGAGATGGCACAAGCAGCCATAAATGCTCTTAATGGAACATATACTATGGGAGTAAGCTCTCTCATTTTTTTTTGCTAAAAGAAAAGCTCTTACACTTTTCTTAATGGTGCTGTGTTTAATTACCTATCTGATAGTCAGTCACAATTTCATATGTTTTTGTATCACAGGGCTGTGATCAGCCATTAAGTGTTAGATTCGCTGATCCTAAAAGACCTAAACCTGGAGACTCAAGGTATCTTTTTGCACATAAGCCAATCTTTTCGTTAATTTCTTCATTTTTTCTTTGTTTTTGTTTCTGGTTCTTGTTTTTTTATGCTCATGTTGCAACTTTTTTCCTTGTTTCGTTTCTGGATTATGTTTTGATTGTGGCGCTTATTGATAATCAACCATGACTTTTCTTTTATTAAGAACTATTAATTTCTCAGTTAGGTGTGTTAATGTTGATATTGTTATTCAACCTTGCTTGTTTTTATGGGGTGGAACTTTTATTTGTTGTTTCTGACTGTTCTGTAAGATTAAAAATGCTGATGTCTTTCTGGCGTTATTTGATTAAAATTTTGAATCGATATTATTTTTCTCGTTCCCCAGAGATGGCCTTTCCTTCAGTGGACCTGGTTCTGAACCTCGTTTTCCTGCCCCTGGTAATAGGTAGGTTTCCCTTTTTCATGTTTGTTATTAGCTTCTTCTCGCCAATGTTGTTAACTTGTACATTCTAACATTGTTATTTCGAAATTTGGTCTGGACTTGATTTTTTTTTTAATAACTTTTTCGTAGACCACCACCCAACCAAGGCCAGCTACTTTCTGGCCCTATTCCTCCTAATTCCTGGCCTCAAATGAGTCTGCATAACCAAGGACCGGCCTCTCATGTTGGCAACCATGGTTTTGGCAATCAGTTTCAGGCTAGATCCGGTGATATGGCTGTCTCTTCCACTCCAGTAAGATTATTAACAACTTTTTTCTGCTGATAATTGTTAGTCTGAACTACTCTTGGCTGTAACATAAGGATGCAACTTTCTGGATGTCTTGTCCAATATATGCATTGTTTCACTCCGGACATTAAATAAAGGTCACACTAAATCGACATGCTTGCTGCTTTATAAACTCGATCATTTCCAAAAAGTAGCAGTGTTCATTAGAGGTTTTGCTCCGCAATTTACTATAGGGGATGCATATTTTGATGCATTCATTATGTTGGCATGTTGGTCTTGGTTTCTGGAGTTAGTGGCATTACTTCTCGTATTTGATTCAGGTGTTGAATAATTTTGGAGTTAAATGACTATGGCTGTTCTTTTGACTTCTAACTTGTATCTTGGGTTTTTCGTGCGCAACTCTTAGGATCCTGTTGGAGGTCTTTCTGGCAATGCAGTTTCACTTCCTGGACCCACTGGTTCTTCTGCTCCCGTGGCACATGTAGTAAATGAAAGATTAGCTTCACTCTTTCTTTATTCGTCATATTCTAGAAAGTTACTCGATTTCTAACTCTCATTCTTTTTTAATTTTTCTCCAGAATCTTAACCAGCCCTTGCCACGAACTCCATCTTTTGGCTCAAAAATATCACCTGTACAGAGACCAATCCAGTCGCCACAGGATATGCCATCTTCCATGCACTTGCAGCCATTTAATGCAGCATCTTTCTCCAATGTTCAAACTTTGCAGGGATCACATATGCAACAGGGTCAAATGCAAACACCTCACTCTTCTGGTCGAAGTCCTTACATGCAGGCTCCATCATCACAACAGTTGCCTGGGCGAAACGCGACCGCAACTCAAGTGCAGCATAATGATGCATTAACAACTCCAGGACAAACACCTGGTGTGGCAAATCAACAACGACCACCTTCTCAGCAGTTTCAACAATCACCATCACAGTTGGCTCAGATGTTGTCACAACAGAAACAAACTCTACAGGCCACTTTTCAGTCATCACAGCAAGCACTGAATCAACTACAACAGCAGCTGCATCAGCTACAACCATCAAATCCCCATTTAACACCACATCAGGGTCCACTAGGTGCTAGACCGCAGGTATGACCATGAACAACCTTCATTTTGGTCACACAGTGGCCCACATAGAACTGAATTTGGAATTGCTATTCGGATTAATTTGATATATTTTGTGTTTTTTTAGTGAAAAGTACTTAAAACTTGTTTGTGGTAGTGTTTTGATAGTTCTTTCTGTTATGACCATTTAATTTGCTTTAATAATGGGGTGCTTGTCAGTAAATAAATTGTTCTTGTTCCTCCAGTCTCATTGGGCCGGACATATTCACAGCCAGTTGCAATC